GGTTCAGCCTGGAGGAGAGCAGTGAGGAGGATTCCAGATAAGTGAGTTCACACTGCATGTACGTGTGAACAAGCATACCTTCAGATTTCCATGGCAATCGTGTCCTGGCACCTCACGCACACGTCAAAGCCTGTAATAACTCCATGGAGTCCATCAGTTATGTATGTGTCCTCATGTGCAGAGCAGACCCAGTTAAATATAGTCAAAGCCAGGGATCAGGACTTATGTGACAAACTAGGAATCTCTGAACAGGATTGTAGTGTTTTCTCCAGACTCTTTAATCTGGTAATTGGATTCACATTCAAAGGGAACCATCTGAACTGTTCGTGAGGATCCTGGAGCTCTTGACCTGCTGTCGCCCGGACTCCGTCGTCACTGAAGAACTGCAGAGACTGGAGCCCTTTTAGACTGCAGTTCTTTATAGAGGGAGACTGTGAGCACAAAGAATGTCTCCTTTCTCCTCTCCAGTCGGTGCCTCCGTGTTTTATGTCTCTCTTTTTTATCTTGATATATTTATTGCTTCTTCATTTTGTTCCTTTTCATCAAAACCTCTCCATCCCATCTGTTCACGCAGAGAGCAAAGACGTCTCCTCATGTGCAACACTTGACCAAGAGGAATTGACAGGAATGACATTTTGAACAGCAATTTTCCTACTGGAAAACAAAATCATCCTCCTGTCAGGCAGAGGTCCCTCCTGCCGTTGGTCCCTGGTTCTCCTGCAGGGCCTTGTGGGTACGTATTCAGTCTGACTTCCCCTCGGCATGATGTCATTTCAGTTTGGCTGTGGGAAGTGTATGAGAAAAGGAAAAAAGGAAACACAGTTAGCAAAAACAGGACAGAGGAATGCAAACTGACTGACTGCGATGAAATCCATCAGGGGAAAGGTGGGAGAGCGTGTGCTTCTTCTCATATCTTCAACCAGTCTGGGCAGAGTAGAGAGACGTCTGCAGCCGAGATGAGAAATCATCCCACAGAACCTTCTGCTGCTCTAACCTCTGGCCTCACACAACAGCTTTAAAGCATCTTTTGGTTACTATCAAAAAGAAGAATGCATCTGTTTGCTGATTCAACAGGAATTTAGACCCTGAGGCCAAAAAAAGATTTTTTTTTTTTTATCATTCCAACCTGTTCTAGAATAGAACATGATGATGTAGAGTCTGATGTTTATATTTTTAATATCAAGTTTTATCTTTAAAATTATTAGTTTCAACTTGACATTTAAAAACTGCGTGGTTTTGGTTACAGACAAACGTTTCCAAAAAAGCACCTCGGTTCAATGAAAACAAGAGTGACAAAATATTTATAGAGTTCAGAAAAACAGGCAACAAAGCGTGGCTTTAATATTTGGGTAACGGCTGCTTAAGTGATACCAGAGAGAGACATTTGTGATTGGAATGCCAGAAACTAGAGATGCGAGTTGTTTGTTGAGAACAACATGATGCAGAATCAGAACCGCCGATAAAGACTGAAGCGTCAGGGTCTGGAGACAAGGCCTCTCAGTGTACATGGAACTTATTAAAAATTTAAAACACGTGACCCTCCTTGACAGCCCTGTGATCAGTGCCTTCAGCGGGCTGATATGGTTTGAATATCAGGGAATCAAAGAGTTTGTGATAGATACACAACACAGACACACACAAGTACAACCACATCAGATAGATCAAACACCCCTCCAAGACGTTTCCACAGAGCATACGGAGACAAAACCTATTCAGGTCATTTTAAAGGAGCAGCAAATGTGCTGTAAAGGCCTGGGCAAACAGAACCAAATATTTACAGCCTCGGAGCGAGCATTCCCACTGACACTGGTCTGAGCACAAAGACAGTGGAGAGTCATTGATGAGTTTGACCCTAAAAAGATCCAGTTACCTCCCTCCCTGCCTGCATGGCCTCATTTGACTCTCCAAGTATGTCAGAGAGCTTATCTGTCAGCTCTGAACTTTTTCCTCCACCAGGGGACAGGGGAAAAAAACCTCACCAACCTTAAGATTCAAAAATCTTACACATAAGCTTCGGGAGAGCGGCATGCAGAAAAGTAGAGCTCTTAAAATCCTAAATTTAAAATCCATTTAACTGTTGTCTGTCGTGAGTATTGTTACAAACGTTTCTAAAGAACTGTTGTCAAATGTTGTGTACTGTAACTAATCT